TTCATGTTTATTAAGTCCGTTTGAGCTTGTCAGAGAAAACTGTTCTTGCAGACGGAGTTTACTGCAGGGTCGAAACCGGCATCGTGTCACACCTGCCTGCACCGGAGCATTTCTCCAGAGAAGGCAGATAAACGCTTAATTAAGCCTTAAAAGACTGAATTTCAAATAAACATCTGGTATCTCTAACGCAGAAGAGATTACATGCATAAATTTGGACGAACTGGACATGTGACTGGGGTTCGCAGCAGCGGGTAAATGAGCTTCATTAGCCTTTTTGATGAAGTTAGCCTGAAAGGATGGTGGGTGTGATATTAGATCAGGTTAGCAACATTGATTTAAGTGCCATCGTTTACAGAACGCCGCTGCCAGTGAGCGTCGCTGCAAAATCGAACCTTTGAACCTTAAATTAGCAAAGTGTTTTGAATCACAATGAGCGTATTTTCATAGATAAATACATTAGGAAGACTAATATGTCATTAACCATCTGAGTTTCGGCCTGATGATTGGAAGCAGCTCTCATTTCTCTCTAATCAGAGTCTGACTCTTCCTCCAGGCATATTTGCGCTAAAGCTCATTCAGATCCACTCAAAATGAGCTGCGAAGCCCCTTAACTATCCTCTTCTCTTCAAAAGCAGCCCCTCTGACTGCCAGCATATCACTAATGAATAGTGGGGTAAATCTCTGGCCTCACAATGTAATGATAAAGGAATGGTTCCATAATCAAATTTACACAGTAAAATGTAGTTAAAGAGCCAAGTTTGCTTTTTGACACTGGTGCTACAAGGCTAATGTATTGACAGTGTACCAAAGACATGCATACCACCCAAAATCTTTTTCCATTACTATTATTATTGTTATCATCTCAGTGACTCATTGCCCAGGTCTGCAGCAAGAGTGCAGTTTGCAATGCTGAAAGAGGTGAAAAGGAGTCGTAGCGTATTAGCAAAGAACTACTGGAATCTTCTAAACTCACGAACATCCTGAGTTCACTGTAAGAAGAACACTAAACGGTAGACGAATGAGACAAAAGTCAACTCTTCAGCAGAAACATTCAGCACCATGTATGAAAAAAAAACTAGCACAAGCACCAAAACCTCAGCCCACCCGTGAAGCATGGTGGTGGTAGCCTCAGTGTGCTGGCATAACCTGAAGAAAGCTGTACACCCAAGGAATCTTAGAAATAATAACGAATGCTGTATTTTAGGGACAAATAGTTATTATTATGCAGATCTGATCAGTAGCTACAATTAATGAAGATGGTGATTCAGTTGCATCGATTTTGGAATGTTAGAATTGCATATAATCAATTATAACAATTCTCAATAGAGCATTTCCTCATTGTTTGGCAAAAATTAAACTGTCAGGTTATTTTATTTTATATTTTCAAATGTGATGTTTTCAAATTCCCCTCCCTCCATAAAAGCTATATTCTATTACTGTAAAAATTTGTAAATTCAGTGTATTTTCTAACATAATTCTGAATATTAATGGTAAACAAAATCTAATTGTGGTGCAATTTGAGATTAAATTTCTTAAAGAATCATATTCACATCGAATTACTGTGAGATCAGACATTTACACCATTTGAAAACAGCCTGGGCCTTTTATTTTGGCCAACCAAATAGCACATACTTTATTAAATATTATAATAGTTGATTATAATGGATTCTAACAATTAAAAAATCAGTGCAATTCATTCTCAACCCTCTAATCGATTCATTTTTACACCCCTGGTATTCAGATATCTCAGTTATAGCCTGGTCTCCCGTCTTTCTCTGGTCAGATGGCTAACTCTTCCTCCTGGCCAGCGTATGTGTGCAGGAAAGCTCATTTAGATCCACTCAGAATGAGCTGCTAAGCCCATCAGCCGTCCGCTCAGACCATTCCTCCTGCGACCATATCGCTAATGAAGGGGAGCCGACGGATCGAACAAGCTGCTTTAACAGAAATGACTTTCAGTGAGAAGCCGGAAAAAACGACCTCCGAAACGACTCAAAGGTCATTAGAGGTCACCCGAGTGACTAATGCGCGTGGGAGTGAGGAGAGAAAAATGTGAAACCTTCTGATTCTGATATTGTTTCGCTCAGTTATTCTCAATATGATGGTGTGGCATGAAAATAAGTTCATAATCTGTTAAATGAATCACCTGAAGGCCAAATTTCATTAATAGGAATCATCTGTAAAACTGAAACAGATGAAATATGCATTACAGTATACTCATGTGTTGAGTTCACAGGGCAATACATATAATCAAGTCACACTATACTTTGAACAAAGGATCGAGGATGTGGGAATGTAAAAGAATAGGCATAAAATTAACAGTGTTTAGTTTGATGCTAATATGAATGGAAATTCTTATAGACATGCTGTCAAATTAGTGCCAATTTCTACAACATGAATTCAGTGATAACTTCACATATGTCGCCATTTTTTCATAAGGAGGTATGTAAGTAAAGTATCTTGTTAAGACAATAAATATATATATATACCCACAGAACTATGCTTTTCAAGGGCTAACAATGGAAGCTTAACTTGAAAAAAACATTGCCTCTCTGCAGCATCGTACCAGAGCTGGTTTATGAGGAGTCTGGCCACTTCCTATTTCCACTGTTATATCAAAAACAGGACTGCTAAACAGCAGAGGGCGCCTGTGATCGAGTCCTCAATGAATGGGAGTGAATGGAGATAAACAGTTACAAACGAAAAGTTGAAATAGTTTCTAATCACTCGCCCAGAACTTTCCTTTCATTTTAGAAAATAGAAGGATGGATTTCACTAAACAAGCAAAGAAAACTCACCTGTATGTTTCCTTTTTTCTACAGCAAACGGGTTTTGGGCAGCAGAACGCTAACATTACTGCTACTGAGTGCTGATTGGTTGGCGAGTGGAGCAGCTCATTGGCTGTTCGCACTCACTGACGCCATGAATGTACATAAGGCGCCGTTTTAAGCTCCTATAACTTGAGATTAAAATTTCTTTAAAGTATAACAGCAGTGTTAAAATGTTTTATGCTGTTCTTTGCTCAGGAAATAAATCATCCATTTACATTAAAAATGTTTAAGCATTTATAAATTATGATTTTGCTCAAACGCTCCTTATTAACACATCCATTTTGGACTCGCTCAGGAGCGCCCTCTAGCGTTTGAGAAACCCAGAAGACATTACATGGCGGTAATTCTCCTTTCTACAAGTTCTCTGATCATGCTGAAAAGCTGAACTACGGCAGCTCTAAATGTACAAACTTCATACAAACTGCTATAACAAATGACCTCTAGAGGCCAGCCTTGAGTGTTAACATATTTCACTACTCCACTACCTGCAGGGTGTCCCGGTTCTTGTTGAGATAGAGGGGGAGGGTGAAGTGTTAGGGCTACATGACCCTCCAAACGGGTGTTTTTCAGAGACTCCAAACAGAGAGATATGAGAAAGAAAACAGAAAGGTGGCTCAACAAGCGACCAAAGACACCCACAAATGTGGGAATTTTCTCCGTTAAACATATATTATCTTAGTCTAATGTCGTTTCAGTGTATTATGGTCCTTTTCTTCATAACAAGCATAAAAATCGCTAGTAGTAGCTGATGTCTTGGTAGCTAACTGGCTAAATCTCCCATTCCACCTTAAATGGTGCAGCATACATTCTGGCACCTCAGGCATCAGAACTGCTGTGCCATTTAAGGTGGAATGGGGAAATTCGAACAAGAAGCTGGTGAATATCTGACTTCAGCTTCATATCACTGAAGAATTAGTGGTGGGTGATAATAAATAATTGCCCCCCTCTTTGAAGGCATATGATCCCTAAATGTAACTAAAGCCCAGCAGTGAGGAGCTGAACTTTACCCTCCTCTGCTGTCACTGCAGACTGGCAGGGTCGCCTACAGAGCAGCGCTGGTAGCTGTTAATGAAGTGATGCTCTTTTTATTTGAGGGTCCCATTTCAGAGGGAAGATTTCAACCACTACCCTGTAACTCAGTTCCAAGGAGCAAGGGGACACTCGAAAACAAGGGGTAGGGGTAAATATAAGAAATGGGATTAGGCCTTAGACTGAATTGAGAGTTTTTTCATTCTAACTTTACATTGTTTTGAAAAACTTCAGTGAAATGATTGAATGTTTTCGGTTTATTTTTATGGCCTCTGTGGGGATTGTGTGAGACAAACGCACACGGGCGCTTTAAGCCACCTGGAGCTGAGGAAGGGTTTATCAGACTGAAAGATTGGGGTGTCTGTGTTTGCTCAAGCAACTTTCTAATTATGTCCCATTCTTTTTGTAAGATGAAAAGCGCAGGATATAGAAACGCAGTGTGCGGTATAAATATAGCCTGTGTGCACATCATATAAAAATGCCTCACTAGTTTTTCTAATACCACCCAGGAGAAGAACGCAAGCACAGGATGCTTTAAAGCAGTGGTCACTAACCCTGGTCCTGGAGATCTACCTTCCTGAGGAATCCAGTTCCTACCACAATATGCCTCACCTGCTCCGGCTAAGTATCTTCCTCAGAAGGTCTTGATTGGTTAGATCAGATGCATTAGTGCTAGGAAAGAGGAGGGCAGCATGATCAATGCAGGTTGGAACCAAACTCTGCAGGACAGTAGATCTCCAGGAAGAGGGTTGGTGACCTCAGCTTTAAAGGCCTATATTAGGCATTTTACTTTTATTTCACATTTGTAGGCTGAATGGGCGGGGCTAAACTGCTGTAGGCTGAATGGGCGGGGCTAAACTGCTGAAGGCTGAATGGGCGGGGTTAAACTGCTGTAGGCTGAATGGGCGGGGCTAAACTGCTGTAGTCTGCATTAAACTGCTGTGTGTTGGATGAAGGAGCTAAACTGCTGTAGGCTGAATGGGTGGGGTTAAACTGCTGTAGGCTGAATGGGTGGGGTTAAACTGCTGTAGGCTGAATGGGCGGGGCTATACTGCTGTAGGTTGGATGGGCGGGGCTAAACTGCTGTAGGCTGAATGATTCTAAACAACTAAAGCATTAAAACGTTCTCTTTCTCTGCAGGACAGAGATCTGGACTGTAGGCTGGAGGAGTTGCGGGTGGAGGGGAAAACTCTGTCCGAGCTTCAGGTCACTCAGTGGCTTGTCCAGCTGTTGCTCGGGGTCAACTACATGCACGAGAGGTGAAAACACTCAGCTCTTTCAAGTATTCTACAGCTAGCTAAATGAAAATGAATGAAGGGAATGGTCTCAAATCTAAACCATGAAAATGTGCCACACTGTGCGTATTTAATTTCGCCATGTACTATTTGTGGCTTAAAGGGGAACGCCACCAATTTTCAAAATTACTCAATCATTTAATGGTTTAGATGTAAACAAAATCATTCAGAGTGGTTCGGTGTGAAATGCGCCTTTCTAGAAAAATTTACAGAATTTGAATTGTTCACCATTATAGTACAAGGAACCAGATGTCTGAAGCATTTAATGGCTCTAAAAGCAACACCTTGTTAACTTATTGCACAAAATGGTTATGATTTTGTTGTGTTGCTTGATATTTGAGACTTATTTTTAATATAAACTATTACTCCATAACTGCATTCTCAACTGAGATCAATGTGCACAAGCTAACGTGCTTTTGTAGCTACTAGCCTGTAGCTACAGCCGTTTAACACGGCTAACGGCAGCAAGTTTTGTTTTACAGTTTATTTTTACATGTTTCTTACCTATTTTGGGGGGATGGCAGAGTATGAGGAGGACTTTGAGGAGGTCTGTTTCCAAAATGTCATAGATCCATATCCAGAACACACAAATGAGTTGCAGCGGCTTGAAGAAGAGAGAGTCAGAAGGGGGAGAGAGAGAGAGAGAGAGAGAAAGAGAGACGTGTAAGTTCTCTGGTCATTTTGAATAGCAGATAATATGGAGATATTTGTAGTGTAGACATAGAGACGTCTGGTTCCTAGTACTACAATGGTGAACAATTCTGACTCAGTAAGTTTCTCTAGAGAGGCGCATTTCACACCAAACCACTCTGAATGATTTTGTTTACATTTAAACCACTGAGTAAGTGAGTAATTTTGCAAAATCGGTGGAGTTCCCCTTTAAATACAGACATTTGAAGCCTCTAGCAGGACCCTTTATTTTGTAAGTTAAAGCTTTATAGTGAACTCTTTAGTAAATGCAGTTTAAAGCGACCAGCAGAAGCAGAGGCTTGAGTCCCCACCTCCCACCCCCTACATACAGAAATACCTTCAGAGTCGCTCGTTGCACAGATTGAGCTCCAGTACGAGGCGGTGGAACTCCGCATGTTGTCTTTTGTGTAGAATGGGGTGAACCTAGTGCGAGCGTCATTTGGTTAAAAGAAAAATGATTCATCGTCACTGAAACCGTCTGTTCCTCGTTCCTCTTTGGTCCTCTCCTCTCATCCTCTGAGTTATTATAGGCCTTTATTCTGACTCTAAATTTAAGTCAGTTTGGCTTTAAAAATGTGACTAACCTCATGTGGCAGTGACTGTATGTGTGAATCAACAATTATTTTTGTTTTGTGTTAGATTTTACAGCTCAGCTGCAAACTTTTGCCTTTCTGCCAACTACAGAACAAACCTCTTACCCATAATGCCTCAGTATGTATTGATTCCTGTTGCCTTCCCGCGGCAGGCGGATACTTCACCGAGATCTGAAGGCCAAGAATGTGTTTCTGAAGAGGAATAATGTGAAGATAGGTAAGCTCTCCTGTGGCTCTGCTGTGTTTTTGATGTTTTCCTTCAGCGTCTCGGGAGCAGAGGTGTCTTCCAAGATGCACACGCAGCCCAAATGCTTCCTGAACAGCCTGCTTTTGTCACTGCAGTCGATTCTCTACTACAAAGAACCTGGAGGATTGTTACTGCGGTGTTGAAAAGCACGTTTAGAGCCAGAGAGGAAAAGCTGGGATGAGGAAAGGACTCAGAGTCTTAGTCTGAGACGTCACATATTTTCACTGTGTTTATGATAAAATACAGACACGTTCAAAGAAGATGCTCCATTCAGTGTTATTTTCTTTGGCAGCAGATGTTTTTGTAGTACAATAGCATGGAAGTTTGCTGACATATGAGATCCTGTGTGGACCTCCGCAGGAGATTTTACAGGAAATGTAGCTGTCGGTAAGCCATTATTGAGAAAAGCGAGCTTTTATCCCAGTCTAAATCCATAGACATTAATATGGAGTTGGCTCTGTGAGGGCCCGTCAAGTTCCTCCACACCAAACTCACCCAGTCAGGCCTTTATGGAGCTGCTTTGTGCTCTGGGGCTCAGTCATGCTGGAACAGGAAAGGTTCTTCTCCAAACTGTTCCCACAAAGTTGGAAGTGTACAATTGTCCAAAATGTCTTGGTGCTGAAGCATTAAGATTCCCCTTCACTGGAACTAAGGGTTCTAGATCAACCCCTGAAAAACAGCCCCATAGCATCATCCCTCCTCCACCAAACTTTACAGCTGGCACAGTGCAGTCAGGCAGGTAACGTTCTCCTGGCATTCGCCAGACCCAGACTCGTCCATCAGACTGACCGGTAGAGAAGCTGATTGGTCGCTCCACAGAATACGTTTCCGGCTGCTTGCATGCAGCCACTCGGCCATGGAAACCCTGCCATGAAGCTCCTGGCGCTCACTGTTTGTGCTGATGTTGATGCCAGAGGAGGTTCTAGGAGGGAAGAAAGTTCACAAACTGACTTGGCACGACAGTGGAGTCCTGTTACAGGACCACGCTCGAATTCAGTGAGCTCTTTAGAACAACCCATTCTTTCACTAATGTGTGTAAAGTCAGGCTGCATGGCCAGGTGCTTGATTTTATACACATGTGGCAATGAGACTGAATGAAACACCTGAATTCAATGATTAAGAGGTGTCCCAATACTTTTGTCCATATAGTGTATATTTACTTGTAGGAGGCATAAAGGCATGTTTACAACAGATGTAACAATGGTTAAAATTTTCATTTCGGCTAAAGTGTCACTTTAACAATATCAATCACGCAGTGCGTTGAATGATTACATGTTGATTTAAGTTTGTTTGCATGCTCTGGTCAGGTGACTTTGGAGTGTCGTGCTTGCTGATAGGGTCGTGTGACCTGGCCACTACATTCACGGGAACGCCATACTACATGAGTCCAGAAGCCCTCAGTCACCGTGGTTATGACTCCAAATCTGACATATGGTAAGAGCTGTGGAGTTTAAAAAACTGGGTTGCAAAACTCTCTATGAATTTATTTCCATCTGTAAACAAGTAAGAAGTTTGGAGTCACATAGCTTTTAACATGTTTTGGTATTAATGATCCAATTTCTTTGTTGAATGTCATTTTCTAAAAAAAAGCTTGATCAGGTTTATTTATAGGAAAACAATATCACACAACAAATTATGCCAATTTTAGTGACGGCTGTATTGTAAATAAAGCCAAACCACACAGTTGTGATGTCAGCACTTATCAGCACTCAAACCTTTCAGGTATTTAAACCATTTCTGGACTGAAAGAGTTTTAATATGTGCTTAGTTTTGAAAAAAACTAATTATTATTTATAAACCTGCCCCTTATACCAGCCCAAAGCCTGAAAAACAGCCCCAGCCCATTATCCCTCCTCCACCAAACTATGGTAGGTAACGTTCTCCTGACATTCACCGAACTCAGACTGGTCCATCAGACTGCCAGATAGTGAAGCATGTTTCATCACTCCAGAGAACGTTTCCACTGCTCCAGAGTCCAGTGGCGGCATGTTTTACTCCCCTCCAGCCGACACTTGGCATTGCTCATCGCGATCTTAAGCTTGTATGTAGCTGCTCAGTCATGGAAACTCATTTCATGAAGCTCTCGATGCACAGTTCTTGTGCTGATGTTGGTTCCAGAGGCAGTTTAGAACTCTGTACTGAGTGGTGCTACTGAGGATAGATGATTTTACACACTACTTGCTTAAGAACTTGGCAACTCCACTCTGTAAGTTTGCATGGTTTAACGCTTCATGGCTGAGCTGTTGTTGATCGTAAATGGCTCCATTTCACATTATTAGCACTTGCTAATTCACCCTTTAACCCTGAAGGTCGGCCTGCAGACTGCTGGTCACCATAGCAGTGCATATAACAGTCTCACCAAGCTAGTAGCTAACAAAAAGGCAAATAGAAAGATTTAAGACAAACAATAATTTGGAGTCAAACTGATTATTTGTGTTTATAATCACTCCAGCTGGTTTCCTGATACGTTTAATCTGCAATGAGAAACTGTCAAAAGTCATGAATTTTCCCATTCCACCTTAAATGGTGCAGCAGTTGCATTCTGGTGCCTCAGGAACCATTTAAGGTGTAACGGGAAAATTCAACCAAGATCCTGGTGAATGAGAAGCGACTCCAGCCTCGTAAAAAATCTAACATTGAGAGATATTTTACAAGAAACTGTTCCACTTTTGTGGAAAAGTTTCCTGCTGGAGATGCGAGAAAAGCAGCTATAGCTGAGCTAAAGCTGAAAGCAGAGCAAAGTGAGTCTGTGTTTTTGTTTAGATTAAAATTGTTAGCCTGTACTAACACATTAAAACATACTGAGATATATTCACAACCAAGATGGTGAAATGGACATAAGATGTTGTGACTCCCAAGGTGGTTTGATTTCGATTTTTGCTGAAAGGACAAAATGGCTCTTTTTAACATTCGGGTTGCCCATTTACTGCGGTCCTTTTCCAAACAGTTAGCCAAGTATGAGGACTCTGTCACTGGCACAGGTCCATCTAATACTGAACCTGGCCTCCACCACTCCTGCACACTTGGGGTATATGTGGTGAATGTGTCTTGTTTATGATCTGTAAGATGAGGGGATAGTGTCTGTGTTTTTGTGCTCCGCTGTGTTTTCAGCATTTGATCACCAAAACAGCATCTGAAGGCCCTGCTTTCATTAGCTCCGCTCTGCTTAACTCAAAAGAACGGCGATCATTAAGTCTTATAATAATAAAAGCAGTCCGGTAGATGGATGCAGGTTGAGGGCTGCTGTGTAATGTGAGTATCTTTGAAGGTCTGTGTGTGATCTAGTGTTTCCTGGAAACTTTTTATGAACTTCAAAGCTTCAGAAGAAGCTCTCACTATTTACTGAAAGGTGTGATGAGGCAAAAATGAAGGCAGCAGCATCCCCAACCCAAATCATACATAATGAATCAAATTACTTGCAATCATCTGCTGGGACAGAAGGGTGAGGTCCAGTGCATCAAATGGTCCATATCTGGGAAAATAGAATTTTCTTATTTTTTGAGTCTGTCATATGTAAACTTTTCAAACATACAGTCCACATACGCTGACGTGCCAAAAGTCATGGGATAGTAGTATGTAAGTTGAATATGAAGTGGTATCACCTCAGGGGACGCTTTGAGAACGCCCACATCTGTATAAGTTGTGAGATGTTATCCTGTGATGTTGAACACTGTTGAGCACTTAACATTCCTTGATCCACAGTGTCGTGTGTATAATACATCATAGAAGGCACTACCACCCACAGTGGACAGCGCAGTGGGTGCCCACAGGTGCTTCATTATTGTGACCAGTGACATTTGGCTAGAATTGTCCATGTGAACAGACAAGTGACTCTGGCAGAAATCACATGCCACGCCACATGCATATCCCACAGGTCAGTGCAGCATTTAGCTTCCATGGGATATGGGAGCAGAAGACCCACCACAGTGCCTCTGTTAACACCACAACTCACAGTGCCTCACCTGGTCTCGTGAGTTTGCTAACTGGACCCTAGAAGACTGGCAACGTGTGGCTTGGTCCAATGAGTCACGGTACCAGTTGTTTCGGGGCTGATGGTAGGGTTTGTGTGTGTCGCAGACCCCATGAAAGCACAGACCCCATTTTTCAGCAAGGCACTGTGCAGGCTGGTGGTGGTTCCGTACTGGTGGGGGGTGTGTTCTCATGGCATGGATTGGGTCCACTGGTTCACTGAAACACGTCATTGACCGGTGACCCCCTACGTTTTACTGGATGGTGACCGTTTGCATCCCTTCATGAACTATCCTCAACGATTATCCATGAACTCAACAATTTGTTCCACATTGTGCTTTTTAAATGAGGGCAGCCAATCAGAACAGGGCTCACTTACATATATCAGTCTTAAAGCCACAGTAACAAAAACAGCCTGTTTACTTCTAAGTGATAAAGAGAGGCTCATGAAAACTCATAAAACCATACAAATATTTAAATATTGTGAGTGAACATCTGGGAACAAATCTGAGTTTAATCCTCCACCTGAGCTGTTTTTACCCAGAATTCTCTGCCACTGAGTTTGCCATGACAACGAAAGGGAGGAGAGAGAAGGAATGGGGTGAGAAAGAGAAAGTAGGGGATGGAATGATGGGATGATGAGGAAATATAGGGAAAGAAATGAATAAGAGAAATAGAACGAGAGTAATAACGAAAAACAGCAAAGTACGTTGGAGAGAAAGAGAAAGAGAGAGAGAGAGAGAGAGACAGAGAGAGAGAGGGAGAGAGAGAGAGAGATCTCATTGCCAAATAGCCTCAGGCGTCCACTGCTAATTTAACAAACTCATACCCTCACACACATCATGGATGTGTACACACACACACACACACACACACACACACACACACACGCACACACTCTCACTCCTGCGTGTGTGTGTGTGTTGGAGGGTGTGTGAGTGTGAGAAGCTCTAATGAGATGATGCGCTGTAGTGGCATGTGAAAGACCACCAACACACCAGAGACCACCATAGATAGAGAGAGAGAGATAAGAGAAACATACTGAGAGAGAGAGAGTGAGAGAGAGAGATAGAGAAAGATTGATAGAAGGAAGAGAACGATGGAGAGAGAAGGAGAGAGAGGGAAGAGAAAGTGGGAAGAGAGCCAGACAGAGAGATAAGAGAAATATATATATGTATAGAGGGGGAAGAGGGGAACAAGGGAAAGAAAAACAGGGAGAGAGATGGAGGCAAATATAGAGATGAAGGAAAGAAAAGAGAAAAGGAATGTAGGGAACAGATAGAAAGAGAGAAAGAAGAGAAAGGTAGAAAGAAAGAGAAGAGAAAGATGGAAGGAAAGAGAAGAGAAAGAAGGAGAGAAAAGAGAGAGAAGAGAAAGAAGGAGAGAGAGAAGAGAAAGATGGAAAGAAAGAGAAGAGAAAGAAGGAGAGAGAGAGAAGAGAAAGAAGGAGAGTGAGAAAAGAAAGATGGAAAGAAAGAGAAGAGAACGAAGGAGAGAGAGAAGAGAAAGAAGGAGAGAGAGATGAGAAAGATGGAAAGAAAAAGAAGAGAAGGAAGGAGAGAAAAGAGAGAGAGAAGAGAAAGATGGAAAGAAAGAGAAGGGACGGAAGGAGAGAGAGAAGAGAAAGATGGAGAGAGAGAAGAGAAAGATGGAAAGAAAGAGAAGGGACGGAAGGAGAGAGAGAAGAGGAAGATGGAGAGAGAGAAGATAAAGATGGAAAGAAAGAGAAGGGACGGAGGGAGAGAGAGAAGAGAAAGAAGGAGAGAGAGAAGAGAAAGATGGAGAGAGAGAAGATAAAGATGGAAAGAAAGAGAAGGGACGGAAGGAGAGAGAGAAGAGAAAGATGGAGAGAGAGAAGATAAAGATGGAAAGAAAGAGAAGGGACGGAGGGAGAGAGAGAAGAGAAAAAGGAGAGAGAGAAGAGAAAGATGGAAAGAAAGAGAAGGGATGGAAGGAGAGAGAGAGAAGAGAAAGATGGAGAAAGGAGGAGAAGGATGTGAGAGAGAGAGAGAAGAGAAAGTGGGAAGAGACAGAAGGGAAGAAAAAGATGGACAGTGGGGGGGGGGTGATTGGGGGGGGCATCACAACCATGATGAATTGAAAACGGGCTGCAGTTTGGTTTCCATGTCTGACTGTTTGATCTGTATGTTTTGAGGCTTTAACAGTGTTTTTACAGACGACGTCAAACTCCTATATAAAAAAGCCAGAATAACAGTTTCTCAGTGAAATCAGCCCTTTAATGATGAGAACCACTGTAAACGCCTTTAAATCAGCAGTGATCAGGAAGGCCTCTCCTCTGCTGCTGAGCAGAGCCGCTGCTGTGTCCACCTCTTGGGAGCAATAATGAATGTACAGCTTTCTCTGAAATATTGGCTTCATATTCTCGCATCTTCGGAATCCCCCCTTCGTTTCAGCCGCGCAGCATGATAACTCAATTATTCGCGATATATTTCCATACTCTCACAGGAAATAGATTGCATCTTTAATACAGAACGAATGCTAAAATCTTAATGAAAACAATCCATCACCGCATTGTCAGAATGGGTTCTGGCAGTAATGATGAGGGTCCTAAGGATGCTGTATGTACAGCAGAGTGGAGAGAAAAATGATTGACAGGGGTCATTTTCTGTGCTCTCAGGCAGCTATGATGGCACCTGTAATAATGCATTTATTTTAAATACAAAATTGTTTATTATTTATCATATTAAATCTATACTTTTCACTCTGTTTCAGTTTTGCACCTTATTTCAACTCATTTGGTCAAATTCTGCTTATTTTGGTCTTTACTTAAAGCGCTAGTTTGGCTAAAAATAACCCCTCCCTTCATCCCGAATGTAGATCAGTTTGAAATCTGACGTTTTAGCGCTGCAAAGCTAATGTAGCTAACTAATATGTAAGCTTAAATCCCACCAATTAGCATGGTGCTAACTACCTGACTACTTCATTACATACTCACCTCAAACTGTGACAAGTTGTTAAAGGGGAATTCCACCTATTTTTCATAATTCCTCCATAATCTCAGTCTGTGAGATGTAAACAGAGTGATTCAGAGTGGTTAATTATGTTAATTATGCATTTAAAAAAGTTGCTGGAATTTCAAGAATTATTTAAACTTTAATCTTCAAACTTTAGTCCATGTTTATAGATAACAGTGTGTCTGCTTGACGTTCTGTTGATAGTTCTGAGGAATCACAGATGTCCCTGCAGTCTGAGGTACAGACACTTCCACACAGCGCTGAGTGATGGAATTTACTGACTCATGATTAATTCCTATTAATGAGCACAAACACATTAATCAGTATGATCACAGCTGTCCTTGTTGTCGTTATTGTGCAGGAATGGACACGTCTGAGTGACCTGTGCCTTCCTCTCAATACCACAGTGTATTTGCAGTAAATGTAGTATTATTATTAGGCTAGAAAGACTCAAAGCTTTAGCCAAACGGTGCCATTTTCTGTTCTTCAAGACCTCCAAATTAACCTCTTAATGTGGATCAGTGTGGGGGGTCCACACTTCAGTTCCTCACTCTCAGAACTAGAGTGCACATTAATTTCATGGGGGATGATTCATAGCAGTTACTGAATAATTTTTAGTAGTTGCTTTAGTAGTTGAATAATTCATAGTATATACTGAAAAATTCATAGTGGGTACTGAATAATTCATAATAGATACTGAACAATTCATAGTGTTTACTTAGTCATTCATTAGATACTGAATATAATTCATAATGGATACTGAATAAATCAAAATGTTTACTGAATAATTTGTAGTGTTTACTGAATAATTCATAGTAGGTACTGAGTAATTCATAGTAGGTACTGAGTAATTCATAGTAGATACTAAATGATTCATAGTAGATACTGAATAATTCATAGTCGGTACTGAATAATTCATAGTAGGTACTGAGTAATTCATAGTAGATACTGAACAATTCATAGTGTTTACTTAGTCTTTCATAGTAGATACTGAATATAATTCATAGTGGGTACTGAATAATTAATAGTGGTTACTGAATAAATCAAACTGTTTACTGAATAATTTGTAGTGTTTACTGAATAATTCATAGTAGGTACTGAATAATTCATAGTGGATACTGAATAATTCATAGTAGATATTGAATAATTCATAGTGGATACTGAATAATTCATAGTAGATATTGAATAATTCATAGTGGACACTGAATAATTCATAGTGGTCTCTCAATAATTATTTATAGTGATTACAAAATTATTCCTAGTGGTTACTGAATAATAATTTACAGTGGTTAATTAATAATTCATAGCAATAACTAAATCATTCATAGTAGTTCTAAATAATTCATGGTAGTTACTGAATAATTTATAGTAATTAATAAAGTAATTAATAATACTTAATTATTAATTACTTCATAGTAATTAATAATACTTCATTCAGATGAGTGTGTGATGTGTTAGGCATGCAGTTAGCACCAAGCTAATTGGTGGGATATAAGCTTGCATTACTTCTAAGCTACCTTAGCCTCATAGCAAAACTAAAGAAACTTCTGACACCAAATGCATCTTGGCTGATTGGCTACATTTGGGGTAAGAGGGCAGAAACTATCGCTTTAATATCGATGTGTGTTGTGTGTTGTGTGCAGGTCTTTAGGCTGTATTCTGTACGAGATGTGCTGTTTGAAACACGCCTTTGAGGGTCATAACTTCCTGTCCGTGGTGCTGAAGATTGTAGAGGGCGCCACGCCGTCACTTCCGGAGAAATACTCACCGGAGCTGAACACTTTACTGCAGAGGTATGAAGCTAACAGTGGGTGATATATAATATACTATATATTTTCACAATGTTTTGCTTTTTCGTTTGTAAATAAATTGGGATTGTTAAAATGTACCAGTAGAGCAGATACACTACACTGAAAGCCACAGAGAACCTAAATCTGTGTTTACACATCTACAATTTTGAGAAATTAGTGGAATTCACCCTTAAAACTCATGAAACCTTTAAATTACTGTCTATTTTAGACACTCACAGGCTCATCTGGCAGTGAGCGGTCAGTGAAGGATGATCATTATTATCGGATGTTGGCACTGGCCTGATTAAATTCCTTAGTTACTGCTGAGCTCTCCCTCTTTGTCTCTCTCTCTCTGCTGTTAGGATGTTGGAGAAGAATCCCTCGTGCAGGATCTCTGCAGCGGATGCTCTGAGCAGCAGTTTTCTGGAGGAACTCACTCAGGTACAGAACCAGCTTTCATCATCTCACATCATATCACACCATCTACCTGAGAGACGAATAACAGGACCAGAGTGAATGAGCGAGACCGAAACCCAAAACCTGTCTGGACTCTTCAGAACTGGTGGAGCTCAGTCAGGTCTGAACGCCTGTTAGACACCAGTGTCTAATACTGTAGCTGAGCACGTCTGGACCCAAACCTAAACTTAACCTCAACAACTAACAGATCAGCTTTACACTCTTTTAGCTTTTCAAGAGAAAAAAGAGGTTTACTGTATAATTTACAGTAGTTACTGAATAATGCATAGTAGATACTGCATTATGTTTCATAGTTACTGAACAATTTATATAAGGTACTGAATAAATGATAGTAGATTCTGAATAATTCATAATAGTTACTCAATGATTTTCAGTAGTTACTGAATTAATTGGTGACATTTTATTTGGATGGCCCACTGTAGATACTTCATTTGCATTTAAATTATATTCAACTAAATATCTATTAAATTCACCTTTTTTTCCCAAACCTCAACCTAAAACCTAGACCGGACCCTTACTCAGGTCCTTCACCTAAACCTAACCTCAACCTAAAACCTAGACCAGACCCTGACCCAGGTCCTAAACCTAACCCTAACCTCGACCTAAAACCTAGACCTGACCCTGACCCAGGTCCCAAACCTAACCCTAATCTCAACCTAAAACCTAGACCTGACCCAGGTCCTAAACTTAACCCTAACCTCGACCTAAAACCTAGACCTGACCCTGACCCAGATCCTAAACCTAACCCTAACCCTAACCTTGACCTAAAACCTAGACCTGACCCTGACCCAGATCCTAAACCTAACCCTAACCCTAACCTTGACCTAAAACCTAGACCTGACCCTGACCCAGGTCCTAAACCTAACCCTAACCTCGAGCTAAAACCTAGACCTGACCCTGACCCAGGTCCCAAACCTAACCCTAACCTCAACCTAAAACCTAGACCTGACCCTGACCCAGGTCCTAAACCTAACCCTAGAATTTCCAAAGTCTCACCAGGTAGTTTCTTAGTAATATGAACATCTGTAGATAATGTATCGGGCATGTCCACCTACAAGTGTGACTGAATAGGTTCTCATAGTTACTGAACAATTTGTAGTAGTTATTGAAATATGAGTCTTGCATTCGATATTTATTTTTGTATTGGCTGCATCTTTGATGTTGAATTATGGATTGATTAGTGCACCAGTTAGCAGGTTCTTTCAGTATCTGAACCAGCAGAATGTGTGAGACAGTACCTTTACATTCTCATGCAGATTTATTGATTTATTGTTATTGCTTTGTTAGTGCATCTCTACAGAAGCACTGTTTCACCCACATAACAGGCCAACAAACACACACACTCTCACACTCTCACACACACACACACACACACTCACACACACACACACACACACAGTCCTCCTCTGAAAGCTCTGTGCGGAATTTTCCATCCACAGTCTATTACACCATCACACCTCTGAAACATGTAATCAGCGTCCAAAACGATGACACCAAACACGATCACACAATAGCCTTTAATGCACTTCTCTCTCTCCCTGTTGCTGACCGTGTAATTTGTGCCTTTGTAAATGTTTTCTTCTCTCGGCGCGCTCCTCCGTCCCCCTGAGGATCACGTCCCCGTCTCTCCTTCAGTTTCCGCCCTGGGAATCTGAACAAAGAGAGGAGACAAAGCTATACAGAAGAGCTTCACAGTCTCTGAGGAGTTAGATAACCTAGCATCCACATTTCCACTCAGAATGTTCAGCTAAATGCTGAACAGCAAGACACCCCCGAATCTGAAACTACTGTTGTTGTTGAAGCATAAACACCGTAGAAGCTATAAAATGCTTTCGAAAAGGGTTTTATTACACTTGTGACCTAAATTTGAGACCAAACCTCTGAGACAAAGAAGGTACTGAAGTTAGAGAAGCTAGCTAAGTTGAAGAGTTTAGCTAGCACTATTAGCCCGTTGCTGTTGCGCTACAGATTTGGCACGGTATTCATATTTCATGCATAGTATTCTCGACGTCACACTGTATAGTCGCCGCCATTTTGAGGACTGAATCAGGGAGTGACTGCGCTGCGCGACGCCTTCAATTAGCTGTGCTTTGTGAACAATTCACCTGCAAGACGCGACAGAAGCCGAGAATGACGGGATAAACAGACCTTTAATTCAGTGTTTTCACTCCAGGCTTGGAGCCGCTGCACTGTATAGTTTAGTGTTTCTCTCTGCTGTTCACCTCGTTCAGCTCAAGAAGGGATTAATTAGCTAATAATATCAGGTATTTTAACCAGGAAACCACAGTTATGCAGTGCAGGGGTTTCAGGACTGGAGCTGAACTCTGAACTAACTGCACTAGCAAACTTACAGAGTCACGTCTGTCGAAACACGACGTCGTTTTCCGCCCCACGACATTCAGTCTGATATTTAACGCTCATGTTTCTCCATTCAGACGTCATTTAAATCAGAAACAGAGAGTGAAGTTATACCGGCGGTCTGCAGCTCCATTAGGGGGCGACTGTTCATCTCTCGGCTGTTAACGTTAGCTAAAGTTATCTAAAGGCCAGCATTGATCTCATCTGTGTTAATTAGCTGATGTCGTTACCCTCCTATGATCACAGAGTTTATCTCCTCTTTATTCAACACCATGGGGTCCTTTACCCACCCTGACGTGAAGAGCCGGTGGGCTTCTGTGCTTTTAAATGCTCTGAGAGGCTCCAGAATAGGGAGAGGAGCTGAGTATGAGATAAATATAAATGTCAGGACAATTCTGTAGCTTTCTGCCAGTTTAAGTGGGACCAGGAGTTCAGGGGAGACTGTATAAGGATCTCAGACTATTTTATAGACTTTGTCGAGGAAACGTTTTTCTCTTCCAAAGTGAGGAGAGTGATTTCACCTCAAGTTGAGTTTGTGCAGAGGAGCAAAAGCCAGAAATTCGGTCCCAAATATGGCAGCCATAACAGAAAAATCACATGACTGAAACCCCAGGATATGTTCTTTTTCTCACCATTGTTTCAGAGCAGTTGTGTAGTATTGAGACAAATGTGAATATTCTATAAATATATGCTATATGCACTATATATGTGTCATATTGAAGCCATAGTCTGTCTTTTGCAAGAGCAGTTGTTTATTTGCTATTAGCATGCTGAACCGCTAGTTTTACAGAGCAGACATTAGCAAACCTTACCCAAGGCTAGTTGTCCCCTTAAATGGTCAGGGCCCACTGGTGGGCCAAAGGTTTAATTGTACACTTCTATAAGCTAAGAATAGCTTAACCAGTTTGCATTGAAGTCCTTGTAGTTATCCCTTAATATGTAATAAGCCTGAGATTTTAAGGGGTTACAGTGTCCTGCTAATTTGCTACATCGCATTAATAGAAAATGACATCTTTACATAAATGATATTGTGATATATTAAGTATTAATACTTAAATAATTCATGAATTTATTAATATTATGATGTGTATTCATGATATGATAATGATATGCATGCTTCTTGCTAATGCTGGAAGCAACTCAGCTCTCTTTACTCATCAGAATCAACACTCACAGGTGTTTTCATTCACAGTGTGTCTATTTTTACATCGAATCGTATCAGCATGTCTGTGACTGACTGCTGGAGACCCAAACATGGTTGTATCCTGGGGTGGTTTCCATAGAAACGAATAAAAAAGAACCAGTCAAAATTATTAATCAATCATCATGTGAAATTGAGCAAACTGTGCTGCACATTTCGAAACTGATGTTTTTCAGAGATCCTGATTTCTGAGGCGTTTTAGAGTACAGTCTTGGAACATAAAAATATGCAAATGTATGCAAAAATGTGGCCACTCCTAATATTTTATTTTATTTTTATTTTTTCTTTAAGTAACAAGAATAATAGATTCACATGTTAAAGCACAGTTACTTTATATTTGATTAACTATTACAAAGTTTGGACACCATTCCAGCTGTAAAGTCTTAGAACTTAATTAAGTTATGCCTTAATTGCCTCATTAGGACTGGTTAGGCATTAGGAATTCTCAGCTGATGACAATTCCAGAATGTAATGAATTCCCTGACTCTCTAAACCTTGTGTTAAAATTCAACAACCATTGCCTCCTCTAAGCAGCTGCCTAATGATCTGCCAGTGAAGCTAATTGATGCCTATAAAGCAGGGAAGATTATAAGAAGTTATTAAAGCACTTCCAGCTTGGAATTTCCACTCTCGGAAATGTCTTTAAGAAATGGCAATTAAGAGAAACTGTGGGACTCAAGGCAAGAACTGAAACTCTCAGATAGAAATGCTCAAGGCAAAGCAAAACCCCCATATGACAGCAAAGGACTTGCAGGAATGTTGGAGCAGCGTTCCACTCTGCAGTGTTGCTTGCACAAACATGATCTGCATGGAAGACTCATTAGAAGGAAACCTTACCTGCGACCTCATCACAAACATCAATGTCTGAAGTATACAAAACAGCATCTAGATAAGCCAGAGGTATTGGAAACAAGTGCTGTGGACTGATGAAGTAAAGCAGAAACTCTTTGGCCACAATTACCAGGTATGTTCGGAGAAAAAAAGGAGCAGCATTTGATGATAGAAACACTGTGCTAACTGTTAAGCGTGGTGAATCTGTTGTTTTGGGGTTGTGGGGCAGCCAGTGGCTCAGGAAACATTGCACAGGTGGGGGGAAGAATGGTTTCCACTAAACATCACCAAATTCTGACACAGTCATTCAAGAACCTGAAGCTGAAAAGAGGCTGGCTTCTACAGCAGGACAGTGACCCAAATATACCCCAAAATTCACGATTAACAACTTCAAGGGATGCAAGCTGAGGCTTTTTTTGGTACTGCCTTCACTGTCCTCTGTGCTGCGCATGCAGAATGGCCCAAGAATATTGCAAAAGTGGAAGCGTTCTATGAGGAAGAGTGGGTGAAAATTCCTGAAACAGGAATAGAAACACTCCTAGCTGGCTACTAGTGTTTGTGAGCTGTGATATCTTCCAAAGGGGGTGCAGTTCTGACTAGAGAGAGTAGGATGTCACAACTTTTGCACGTGCCACAAATACTATATATTATTGTATTTTTTAAGTAAATCAGATATGAAGTAACTGTGCATTAACAGTTGTATAAAAATGTTGTTCTTCAGTTTGCTGCAGAGGTTGTTGATTTCTTTTCACTTCAAAAATTAACAAGGGCTTCCCAAATTCTCCATACAACTGTACGTATGTATATGCATTGTCATACTTGTCTTTAGAAATCAGTATATGGAAACAGCCCAGGAATAAAGACAGTATATGGTGTATGTATGTAAACTGGAGTGCACCAATGCAACTGTACTATTCTCACCAAGCCTCATTCAGATTTATGAGTTCCTTGCGTTCTCTCTCTCTTGTTTTACCTCAGACTGTGAAACAGCAGTTTTCGGACCTGATGCTGATCGACAGAACAGAAGGGGAGGAGAGAGATGTTTCACAGATTGCTAAAGCGCTGTGAGTGATCCCACGCCAAGAGCTTCCCAACTTTTTTGTTTTGCTGACACTCTCAGCAGGCGTTCTTTTCTCCCATCTGTGTTCCAGCAAACCCCATCCTACTACCCTAAAATTATCTAGTACTTCATTGATAACAGCCTGTCAGATATACATCCCACCAGTCACCTCTCCATTCTAGTCCACACTTCCACAAACTGGGTGCACAATGAGGTTACAAGCCAACCCCAACACAGGAAACAGGTCACTACCGCTAATTGCAGCCTTGGAGGGATTTGTTGGGAAATGATGAGTAAAAAACTGTCGGCACATCATGTGACAGTGTGATGGCATTTGCACTGGGGAATTCTGGGAATGATGCCTTTTTCACTCCTTTTTCAGTTTCACACCTACATGTCTAAAAATACGTGATTGCTGTGGCGTGTGGCTGCTGTTTGAAACGTGTTAATCAGGTGGGAGATAACGAGTGGCTGTGCTCCATTAATTCAGCCTAATTAAAAATCTCATCACCCACGGCCCGCGTCAGTCTTTCTCAGCCATGATCTGCTGGAAATGTCTCAGGCTCAATCTCAGAAACCCCACTGTTCCTAATATAGACCACAACATACCATCCACTACCTTGTACTTCCACTCACTGGCCGCTTTAATAGAAACACCCACCTTGTATTTCCACTCGCTGGCCGCTTTATTGGAAATGCCTACATTGGGCTTCCTTGACTGGCCACTTTATTGGAAACACCCACGTTGTGCTTCTACTTACTGGCCACTTTATTAGAAACACCCACTTTTTGCTTCCATTCACTGGCCTCTTTATTGGAAATATCAACATTGTGCCTTCACTGTTTGGCTGCTTCATTGGAAACACCCACCTTGTACTTCCACTGACTGGCCACTTTTATTAGAAACACCCACCTTGTACTTCCACTGACTGGCCACTTTTATTATAAACACCTACATTGTACTTCCACACACTGGCCACTTTATTAGAAACGCCCACCTTGTACTTCCACTCACTGGCCACTTTATTGGAAACACCTACCTTGTGTTTTCATGAACTGGCCACTTTATTAGAAACACCTATGTTTGAATAGCCAGCAGTTAGCATTAGCATTAGGCAAATGGGGTCTTGCCAACCTTCCATTTGCGCCCTGTTGGCACGTTTTGCTGGGCTATTCCTATATGGTATGGTGCCTACGTTTGGAGTCGGTTGTTCGTTCGGCCTCGTGCGAGACTGTGGGGCGGACTCGGTTTGTGTCGCGGTGCCTGCATTTGGAGTCGGTTGTTCATTCGGCCTGGTGAGAAACTGTGGAACAGACTAGGTAGGTGTTGTGATGTAGGCTGGGTCTGTTCTGCAGTTTCTCATTGGGCTGAATGGGTGGCTGACTCTGGGTGTAGGTGTTGTGGTGTAGACGGGGTCTGTTCTGCAGTTTCTCATTGGGCTGAATGGGTGGCTGACTCTGGGTGTAGGTGTTGTGGTGTAGACGGGGTCTGTTCTGCAGTTTCTCATTGGGCTGAATGAGTGGCCGGCTCTAGGTGTAGGTTTTGTGATGTGGACTGGGTCTGTTCTGCGGTTTCTCATTGGGTTTGGTGGGATTTTTGCCTGTGTTCTGTAGGGCTTGTCCGGCCTCACGGCAGTGGCTATAAAAGAAGGAGGATAAGGTGATTCCTTACAGCTGCTTTACGTTGTTCTTGGACAGAATCAGTCGTATATTATCTCTGCTGTAGTGCTGAGGTTATAATAATAAAACAGATAAACCTTCAAAAAAAAGAAAAGAAATCCCTATGTTGTGCTTCCACACACTGGCCACTTTATTAGAAACACTTGCCTTGTACTTATACTCACTGGCCACTATATTGGAAACGGTTGCCTTGTACTTACACTCACTAGCCAGTGAGAAGCCTTTATTTCATGAGCACAATGTAGGTGTTTAAAAGTGTAATAAAGTGGTCGGTGAGTGGAAGCACAATGCGGGTGATTCCAATAAAGCGGCCAGTCAGTGGAAGCACAAAAGTGGGTGTTTCTAATAAAGTGGCCAGTGAGTGGAAGCATAAAGTAGGTATTTCTAATAAAGTGACCAGTGAGTGGAAGCACAACGTGGGTGTCTCTAATAAAGTGGCCAAGGCGAGTATTTCATGAAACAAAGGCTTCTTCACCCAAATAGTGTGTTACATTCTGAACAGAGAGCCTTTTAAAATTCATATTTTGGCATTTTTAAAGCCAGGCAGTCACGATGCAGCCCACACGACCTCAGTTCGTGAGACTTTATCCCTCTTTATCCCCTTATTTTATTTTTTGTCTCTCTCTGCCTCTCACTTTCTCTTTTTCAGCCGCCTTTTTCCTCTCAGTGCTCTGCTATTGATGTATCTCAGCTCTCGATTAAGAATGAGTCTGGCTGACCTTTCAGAATCATTAGGCACTTCACTAGCATGTTTAGCCATGCCGTACAGAGAAATTGCACTCTTGGGGATGTGAAGCTGTCCAACTCATGCTCATGAATGCCCTAATGGCCGCCGCCGTTGTTGTGCAGTGATATTGTTTCCTGTTTTGATGTGGGTGCGATCCTCGGTGCCTTCGCAGCTCAAGTAGGCCATTTATTGCTTTGAAGATCCGTGCAGATACCAAATGCGGCACGCTGCGCGGTGGGATGACACATACATTAAGAAAGGAAACAGTTTTTCTGCATAATTTCTCCTGAAACTTGGCCGTTCTTGTCCACAGTGTTGAACAAAGCGCTTCCTGTCCTCATGACCTTCCTGTTCTCGCTCCGCAGGCAGAAGAAGGTGCACCTGCAGACCCTCAGAGAAAGATCAGAGGTTGAGAAGATGAGCCCTCGAGAGCGGATGAGGCTGCGGAAGCTGCAGGCTGCGGACGAAAGGGCCAGGAAGCTGAAGTGAGCACAGTTAAAGGGATCATTCGGACGAAAGATTCTAACATGACTATTGGCTAATAATAAATTACCCCTGCTAGCCACTAATTAGCATGTCTCTACCTCGCCATAAGGCCAACACCTCACCTCACGACCACAGAATATTCATTAACATATTCACTAATTAGCTGCTGAATAGCACGCCTTAAGACATAATAAGCCTGAGAATTTAACTTATTAATTTAAATATAACTCCATAAACTACAGGCTTATTATTCAGTTATTCATCAAAAGTTATTGTTAGGTTACTGCAGTGAATTGTTTAGTATTTACTATAAATGAATCAGTATCTACTATGAATTATTCAGTATATATGCATATATACATTATTCACTAACTGTAAACTAATTAGTATCTACTATGAATTATTCAGTGTCTTGTATGAATTTATTATGCACTATGAATTATTTAGTGTATACTATGCATGGTTCACTAATTACTATAATCTAATTTGTATATACTATGAATCAATTAGTGTCTGCTATTAAATATTCAATATCTACTATGAAGTATTCAATATCTTCTATTAATTATTCAGTATCCACAAAGAATTTTTTCAGTATATACTAAGCATTATTTACTCACTACTATAAACTAATTAGTATATACTATTAGTGTGTTATTAAATATTCAATATATTAAATATTCAGTATTTATTCTTTATACTTTTTTGTATCCACTATGAATTATTTAGTAAATATCATGCATTATTCACTACCATAAACTAATAAATAATAAGTATCTACTATGAATCAATTAGTGACTGCTATTAAATATACAGTATCTACTATGAAATTATTCAGTATCTACTATGAATTATTTAGTATTTGCTATGAATTATTGAGTATCTATTATGGATTACACAGTAACAATTATAAATGATTCAGTATCTACTCTGAATTATTTAATATCCTCTATGGATTATTCATTACATATTGCACATTATACAGTAACCTCTATAAATTAATGTCTATAATGAAGTATTCAGTAACTACTGTAGCTGGGACTGTGGATTATATTAGTAGTCAAGTAATCTACTGTATATATGCTAATGCTAATTGGTGCTAAGTGATGGCTGCCGGTGTTCGTTCATCGCTAGCCGCTAACTGAGCAGTGAACACTACTGTTTGTTAATGAAAGGCGACTTTCTGAGCTTGTTTTTGGTCATTTTCTCTGAAAGTAGAGTTGGGATGAGGAACGGCGTTTGGAGTCAAATGTTAATGTGATGTGGACAGTCAGAAACACCCCAAGGTCACAGTGTGTCCCAAAAACACATTAGCTTTGCCTGATATTTATCTGGATTACTCTAATGTGTTTCTGTTTGTCACCATATAGATGAGCGTCTGCATGGACACTTAGCCGTCTATGATGTTTTCCATAATAATAACCCAACGGGACATTTTCATAAACATGCCTGTCCATTATAATGAAAACAGAACATCTCAGATTACCTCACTGCGTCTGCTGCAAATTGATGTGGAGACGAGCTCACGAGCTGATGTACAGTACGACACGGCTCTGTGTGCGGCTTACCCAGCGTTTTGGATGACCAGGTTCAGGATGACAGGTTTATATCATGCCATTCACCTCAACAGACAAATCGTGGAGGAGAAATATCAGGAGAACCACCATCGCATGATGGAGCTTCGCTCCAGACACTTCCAGAAAATCAGTGTGAATGTTTTAAAGGTAAAACTACAGTTTGTATGTTCATAGTTCATTTCACACAAACACATTCTGAATTTTATGATAATCAACACAATTATTTTTTCACATCATTTAAAACATGTTCTCTCCTGTTGTCTGTCACGAAGGAGAAACCTGAGGACGCTGACTGCCAGAGGCAGCCAATCACAGACCAGAATTTTACTAGCAGCCACTGTGGACCAATGGGAGAGCAGCTTGCTGACAGGTTGAACATGTCTGAGCAAACAGAACGTGGTGAGTGCTGTTTCTGCTGTTACACACTACAGAGACACATGTCTGCACATTTTAATGTACAATTACTGTTTATTTGCTAAATTTAGCATATTGGAAAAAATAAAATATTAAATCTGGCTGATGCAGAAGTTATGGCACATTGTATATTTTATGTTTAATTTTTTCCAGTATGTTAAAGTCAGCAGATAAATAGAAATTATCCACTTTATTGTTCCCTATTTTGACTGAACAAAGTGTGGAATTTGACAAGGAATGTTCAAACTATAGTATTTTGATGGACACATAACTGTTTTTTCTGTCTGCAGTCATACAGGTCACCTTAATAGAACTAGTCCATCAAAACAGCATTACACAATCTCCACAATAACTTGATGTACATTTATCTCCAATCCCATTTCACCCCTCGCCCCCTACCACTCAGCCCTACCCCTCCGTTTTGTGGGTTCAAGTCTAGGGGTAGGGTGTCCTGATTCTTGTTGAGATAGAGGGGGAGGGTGAAGTGTTGGAGCTACATGACCCTCCAAACAGAGGTTTTTCAGAGACTCCAAACAGAGAGTTATGAGAAAAAAAGAAAAACCGGCAAGATGGAGAACAAGAGACCAAAGAAACCCACAAATGTGAGAATTTTTCAGCTAAAAAATTTCAATAACCACTGTATTTATCTTAGTTTAATGTCATTTCAGTGTATTTTGGTCCTTTTCTTCATAACAAGCCTAAAAATCTCTAATAGTATGCTAATGTCTCAGTAGCTAGCTGGCTAACTTTCCCATTCTACCTTAAACAGTCCAGCAGTTCTGATGCCTGAAGCGCCAGAATGTAACTGCTGCTCCATTTAAGGTGGAACGGGGAAATTCGAACAAGAAGCTGGTGAATATCTGACTTCAGCTTCATATCACTGAAGAATTAGGGGTGGGTGATAATAAATAATTGCCCCCCTCTTTAAAGGCATATGATTCCCTAAATGTAACTAAAGCCCAGCAGTGAGGAGCTGAACTTTACCCTCCTCTGCTGTCACTGCAGACTGGCAGGGTCGCCTACAGAGCAGCGCTGGTAGCTGTTAATGAAGTGATGCTCTTTTTATTTGAGGGTCCCATTTCAGAGAGAAGATTTCAACCCACTACCCCTGATAACTCAGTTCTAAAGGGGCAAGGTGACAGGGCGTAGGAGTAAAAGTAAGAAATGGGATTAGGCCTTACTTTTGATGCTGTACGTTTGCAAGATAGTAATTTTGTGTGTTTGCTGAAGTAGGAATGTAGATGCTGCAGTGCTAAAACTGAAGAAGCAAACTTCAGAGAACAAACATGTCGTGGCCATAAGGGATTTAGCAATTAACGATCGCTTAAATGGCACTCAGTGCGTTCAGCCGAGCGCAGAAACAGAGCTGAGGTGCAGAGCTGAGGTGCAGAGCTGGGTCGGGCTCAGCTGTGCCGCGGCTCTGAGTGGCTATCAGTGTGGTAATGTGAACACGGCCGCTGAGGGAGGCCTGAGGGAGCGATGGCGTGGGTGGAAATGGGGTGCATTCATAAAGGTGAGGGGAACCGGTGGTGCGTGTGCAGCGAGAAAGCTCAGATGGTGTTTTGGGGGGCCATTTGACTGCAGACTCCGTGGGGAGCGGGGGGCTGTTCTGAATGCGCTTCTACTCATCAGCATCACAGCCATTCACACTGGACCCATCGTCTCTCAGGCATGGAACAGAAAATTCAGGAATTGAAGGAAGATAAGAATGTTTCTGCCCGCAGGACCCAGTCGGCCAGCATTCGGACTCTGACACTGAGCAGCTCTCCGAATATTACATACCTGGATTAGCCTAAAGGGAAGCGCCAGCATTTCATTAAACTAATCTCACTCTGATCTGTGCTGTAGGTTCGACAGACAAAACAGTGAGGGGACATATTCAGACACATTTTTTTGTTATTTATTGTAGTTCCAGTGCATAAACAGAGAATACCTCTGTTCATTTTTATGCAGAATTCATGTGTATTTGCTAAATTTAACATATTCAGAAAAACAATAAAGCGTAAAATGTGGCCTGTGCAAAAATTATGGCACATTTATATTTTGTGTTACATTTTTTTCAATATGCTAAACTCAGCAAATAAATAGAAATTGTGCAAAATTCCTTATTTAGGGGTTTTCTGTAGAGAATTCTACTATCTATCCATATATGTATCTATCTATCTATCTATCTATATATATATATATATATATATATATATATATATATTTCATCAATCAATTGATCACATACAAAGAGAGCATCAGCAAGCTTTGTTTGGTGATAAACACTTAGAGTGGGAAAGGTGAAGGTCTAGACTACTCCGATCCAGCTAAACTAGATTATTCTTGTTCTATTTTTGTTCTTGACCTTCACCAACCCTGTAAATTACAGAGAACCTGTTGTGGTCTAAATTAGCCCACTGGTGAATCATCATTCTAATGGCCATGTCATCATTATCCTAATCAAAAGACATGCTAAATGAAAGCAAAACGCCTCCTCCTTGACCCCATAATTGAGTTGGGGTATCGTGATGATAAATCTCTGCTCGGGGTTTTCAGGAAGGCCTGGGCGGAGATCTATGAGTTCCTGTCTTTATTGACATTAACTCTGCAGATTACAGAGCAAATCGGAGCTCTTTAAAGAAAGAGGAGGCAGGTTTCTGCTCTGAAGTGACCGAGAGGAGCCACACTGTGATTTGTAATAAGAAGGTCCATTCTGTACTGCAGTGCACATTATAATATAAATGTTTAAGAAGTCGAGTTAAGAATATGACAAACTAAAAATGAATATATAATGTGAGTGTGGCTGTTTTATTACAGGATATATATGTACCTGTGGTGAGCCTATTAGAGCTAGGCCTTCAGTTGGACCCAGACATGTCAAAACCTGGTCAAAACACCCTGTAATGATGCTAATTTCATCCAGCCCACATATAAGATTTCTAATAGTATGTTAGTGCTAAGCTAATGCTGGTCCACATTAACATTTTTTGTCATTCTGGATTAAATGCAGACAGCTAAAAGACATTCCTTAGGGTTTATTAGAAGCTTGTAACAGACATTATGAATGAAAGCTTGTATGTATCAGTTTTACAGTAACTCTTTTAGTAAAGAGTCCTGACACAGAGCTGCCGCCACTGTTTTACATTCCTAACAACTAATCAAACCTGCTCGTATGTATCTAGAACTTCTAGAAGAACTAAATTTTATTGCAGGATATATAGTATATACCACTGGTGAGCCTAGTAGACCTAGGCCTTCAGTTAAAACCAGAAATATCAAAACCTGGTCAAAAATTAGAAAAAACACCCTATAATGATGCTAATTTCTTCCAGCCCACCTATGGGATTTCTAATAGTATGTTAGTGCTAAGCTAATGCTGGTCCACATTAACATTTTGTTGGTCATTCTGGATTAAATGCAGACAGCTAAAGCTTGTAAAACATTCCTTGTGTTTTATTAGAAGCTTGTAACAGACATTATTATATATCTGAGCTTATATGTATCAGTTTTACAGTGACTCTTTCAGTAAAGAGTTCTGACACAGAGCTGCCGCCACTGTTTTACATTCCTAACAACTAACCAAACCCTGCTTAGACTACAGCTCATATGTATCTAGAACTTCTAGAAGAACTTTTCTTAGAATTGATCCCATTGTAAATATGTACCTGTGGTGAGCCTATTAGAGCTAGGCCTTCAGTTGGACCCAGACATGTCAAAACCTGGTCAAAACACCCTGTAATGATGCTAATTTCTACCAGCCCACCTATGGGATTTCTAATAGTATGTTAGTGCTAAGCTAATGCTGGTCCACATTAACATTTTTTTGGTCATTCTGGATTAAATGCAGACAGCTAAAGCTTGTAAAACATTCCTTGTGTTTTATTAGAAGCTTGTAACAGACATTATCATCTATCTGAGCTTGTATGTATCAGTTTTACAGTGACTCTTTCAGTAAAGAGTCCTGACATAGAACTGCCGCCGCTGTTTTACATTGTCCCATTGTAAATCAAAGCATGATTGGTTGCTTCCTCTGTCACTACTTTAATTACAGAATGTTGGTAGTTAATCTAACATGTAACCAATAAGAGAGCTCGCTCGGCTGTATCTACCCAGATACCACAGAGAGAATAATCTTGATTGGATCATTTTGGGTGTTTCAAGATATTAACCCTTCTATTTCCAAGCAAAACATAGCAAGGAAATAAGTGTATTAATTGCAGAGTTTAAATCGACAAGCATGAAAATCATATTAAATAAAAATGAACTAAAAATTACAGACATTTTTTTTTCCCACAGAAATCATCACTCCTTTATGAAGGTCTAGAAGGTCCTGAGGGGATATACAGTACCAGACAAAGAGATATATATTGTATCATTACTGCCATAACCAAACCTGTGAAATGTGAACTTTATATTAGAAGGAAAAACATTCATAATGTTAATGTATGCTAATGTCATTTTTGGACCGTTTCTATTGGCCCATTTGTCATAGGGTTTTCAGATGGTATAAAAAAGAGGTTGTAATATGACAGTGACAATATATTCCATGATTAAATTGCTGAATGATGCCTGAGGGAAGTATTCAGCCACTGGCAGCAAGACTTTATTTATTTTTTAATAAATTCTAATAAAATCCATTATTTTCTCTACATGTTAAAGTCATCTGCTGCCGTCTCTGTTCAAACACGCCATGCTTAATGTTCCTCATATCAGCTCCTCTCAGCACACGCTTGTCTTTCTCCTTTACGCTTGCAGTGAGCTGTCTTTACATTGAAGTTCTGAGCTGTTGCTTGGTTCTCAGCTGTAGTCCAGTGCGCTGCTGAGGGACTGAGGGACCGCCTGTGTTTATACTCTTCGCTGTAAATGAGCGTCTATCTGCACTGATGTTTCAGCTAAACGTTAATGACTACACCAGGGACCCTTGTGTGCAGGTGCGGAACGCAAATCTGAATCGTAAACACTGACAGTTGGAAAGTTATGCATTTGCGTATGTTTTCTTG